AGAATCATGGGATATCCTAGAATCATGGGATATTAATTAGAGAATCCCACTGATATAGAAATTAGTTTTTTAGGAAAAGTTAGTTTCCTATTTTATCACCCTGTAAATTAGCTCTGTAATTCTATATAAAGTTGTGTATATGCTCCTTCCAATATAATACAATCAATTCATTTTTTCTCTCAAATTTTCACATTAACATAAGAAGTCAATGGGCAGACTTGTTCACCAAAGGGTTGAGTTGGGGAAGAGTGGACTACATATGTAACAAGTTGGGACGATATGATATATACTCACCAGCTTGAGGGGGAGTGTTAGTGTCAACTATATAGGGGCAGTTTGGTCTTTTTATTTATGTTTGGTGTGAGGTGTAATGTTTAAGTTAAGTGATGTGTCCCATACTTAAGTAGGGGCACAACAGTCATTTCATTTTTATTATAGAAAACTATAAATATAACCTGGCCGACTAGAGAGTAGAATTTTCTCTCTAGTTCGATCTGGCCTTTTCTCCTCTTTTCTTCTCTTCTCTTCTTCCCTCTTCTCTCTTCTCTCTTCTCTATTATTAACAAACTAATTCTGGTTCAGATCTGAGTTTTATCAGTAGTTAAATCCTTGAATTATCATTTTCCCTCCCCAACCTTTTATACCCCATTTACAACCAAGCCAGATTTGAAAATCATCTATAACATTCTAGATCTAACTTGCTTAAAGTCATGTAGAATGGGGTGATCCTAGGTCAGGGATATCAATTATAATATTCTAGATCTAACTAACTTGCTGATGTGTTGTTGTATATACAAAACGAATGGGTGTCAGCTTCTTGATGAGGTTGTGGGCTGTAGGTCAGTTCCTTTATGGGCCTGATCCTGGGCTTTACTGATGTCAACTGGAGGTAATCCATCTGGTCTTCTATTTAGAGAAGAGGCTGAATTTGAGAAACCTAGTGGTGGAAGGAGATTACAAGAACAAAGTAAGCTGGCTACAGAAAGACAATCAAGAAACATGACAGTACTGGCAAACCTTGAGAGAAATCAGCATGCATCAAGGGAGATGGTGATTACAGTTTGCTGGATACCTAGTTCAGCAAACAGAGCAGCAATGCTGATTCACTTGCAAAACAGTACATGTATTTGTCAAGTATTGTATTGTTTTTTTTTTCTTTTTTTTTTTGAGAAAGAAGCAAGGTATTGTATTGGTTTTGACAAAAGAGTACATGTATTTGTCAAGTATGCTCCAGCAACTATACAGAGAAGCCACCCAAAAACTAGCTCTCAAACTAAAGATGAAAAGAGGGAACGGACTTATTGAGGTGACTAATGAAACTACATATGAATGGTGTATGATGTAAGAGAATGTAATTTACAAAGTGTGGGCTGAGGGGTAGAGACCTCCAAAGAGGGACTGCTAAGCAGTTGTTATATTTCTCCTTTTCTTAATCCATAAAAGTTATCAGTTAACTATAAAAAAGGGTAAATTATAAAGACCCCTCCTGTACTATGGAGTCAGTGACAATTGCCCCCTGAACTTTCATTTGCAACAAATCCCACCTGAACTTTCAATTTGCAACAAATACCCCCTCCGTTACAGTTCCGTTAGCTTTGAAAAAGCATTTCATTCAGCTGATTATTTTTTTCAAATCCCCAAACTACCCTTTTCTTATTTATTTGAATGATTTATAATTCAATTAGTTCTCTAAATATAATATTGATATCAATTGCCCTAATAAATCCTTACAGATTTCCATCTGGATTCAATATTCAGATGAAATGGTAGAGGTTTCTTTTTGATAGATACACATTTAAGGTTTTGTTTGTTTTTTCTTGATTTATTGGAGAAGTCAGGATAATTTTAATATTTTAAGACGAAGAGAAACATCCATGTTTGTGAAATGAAACAAAAATTTAAAGAGAGACTTGTTTTTCTATGTCAGTGCAATGATTCTTGTTATTTTAGCTGGTTTCGTTTGGAGAAAATGGAGGTGTTTTTGGGTCAATTAGGGTTTAAGAGAAAAGGGCAAGGAGAAGAAAACAAGGAAAGTTTAGGTGGGTATTTTGGTAGTTTAATGCCTTCTGTCATTTAAATTAATGGCCAAGGGGGTATTTGCCACAAAGTGAAAGTTAAGGGGGTATTTTCACAAAGTAAAAGTTCAGGGGAGTATCACAAACGGATGTTCAGGGGTTAATTGTCACTGACCCCATAGTATGGGGGGCCTTTGTAATTTACCCAAAAAATGGAAAGAAAGAAAGAAAGAAAGCACAGAGATGACAAATCAGAACCAAAAGGCAATTTAAACAGAATCTTCAAACTCTGGATGCACTATCAACCAATGAAACAAGAAAACGAAAATAAACTACACTCCTATGTCACAATCCACCACCATCAAGATGAATGCAACAAAAACAAAGTTGCATTAATCTTTGATGATGGTTTTGGGCATAAGTAATATTTAGCATGTTTAGAGAATAAATTCTGATGATTTGTGTGATTCTAAGATACACTTTAACGTTTGATCCTCGGAAGTGAATCTATTTATTTAGAAAAAGAAGCTAGCTAATTTAGCTCAAAACTTATCCATCAGTGTTGATCAGTGTTACCATGGAGCAGAATTTAAACTATAGTGATGCCTATCATATTGTGGTAAGTGGGTCCCTAAATATGAGTAGCCATTGCAATGAGGAAGCTGAATCTGACGATCACTTATTTATTCATTGCAAGGCTGCTCATTTTCTGTTCAGTCACTTCTGCTCCCTGTTAAATGTCAGGTGGTGCTTACCCAGATCTCTATCTGACATGCTTTTTCTCTTGGAAGTTGTCAGGCTTAAGCGTCAGGGTAAGGTGCTGTGGTGTGTGATCCCTCATGTGGTGTGTTGGGTCCTGTAGAAAAAAATAAATAGTAGGATTTTTGAAGGACAGTTCTGCTCCTTAGATGATTTGGTTGTTCTGGCAATGGCTACTATTCTTTTAAGCATATCCCTCATCATCAGCATTTTGATCATGGCCTTTTGTTTACCTGATTTTGTTGGTTGTCTCTGGTATTTATTCTGGAGAGACTAGTTTTTTGGTGGTTTTCTGTATAGTTACTGGCTATACATGGAAAATTTGGTGGACTGATAGTTACTCTACAGTTATATACACATTAGTACACTACCTTATTCTTTTTCTCAAAAAAAAAAAAAAAATTATGGTGCCATACCCAGGAAAAATTTAAAAAAAAAATCCATGCATTTTATTTTATGTTATATAATTTTTTTTTCTTTTTTGTGTAATGTTTTTTTTTTTTTCATGTGTAAGGGGGAAGGCAACCAACCATGACAATTTATTTATTTATGGCAATTATATATGTTTTTAAACCAGAAAAACAAGGAATTATGTTATACTAACCTTTTTAGAAAAATAATCTAGCCGAGAATCATCAGCATTAATGATTGAACTTGCATCAAAACGCTCATAAATCTGCATATGCAAATGTTACAGGAAACGTTAATACATAAAGTGGAATTTGGTGAATATGGTTCAATGGTAACAAGAAACAGTACTAGTACTTAATCAAGGACACTTCAACTCATGCAACAGTTTGGAACAAACTGAAGTTGCTTGAACAGTAGAATGCTTGTTGCTTTGAGAAGCAACTTGCCATAACTATTAATCAGATAACAGCCATTGCAAGAGTAAAAGGAAACTATATGTTTTACCTTTTAAACCACTACTCTTGATGGTAAGCACAACCATTACATTATGTCTTGGCTACTTGAAATAAGGTTTGAACATACATCATAACAGATGCCTCCACAAAAGTAAAAAATAAAAGTAAATAAATCTATGTAGATGACAAGGGAAAGGGAAAACCAGGGACAATTATTCTGAACAATAGGAAGTACCATAATAGTGAGATTCTAAATTTCATCTAACTTGTACCACATGAAGATGTGGCAATCCCATGTAGGGAAAACATCCCTGCTATAAAGGCAATAGTGTGCCATGTTATATTGGTTTCCAAAGCCTTCAAAATAATTCTTTTTACTTTTCCTTCCGTGTTTTATTTCTTTCTGGTTAAGGATATAAGTAGATATAGATATTTCATTTTGGCCAAAAAGTTAAAATGCAGCTAACAAATGTTTTTGAGAATAATACCCTCTCTTGAACCATTGTGCCTTCAAGCACATGCTGTGATGCTAACTTGTTAAAATTGCCACAAACATTTTAAACCTTTACACATTGATGAGAAAACCTTAATAATAAAACAAGTTTATGGTCTTTTAAGGATAACAGTTATATTATTTCTCAATAATAGGTAGCAAAAGAATTTCATGCCAAATGCTCTTAAGAAAAATGGATAAAGGAAAAAGGTTCAGATGCATTCTAGTTGAAATGTAAATCTATTTTCAGATGCATTCTAGGCATCACCTTTGCCATTAAAGCCATAAGCAGAAAAGCTTGATTAAAAAGAAAAAAAAATATAAAATGAATACAAGAAAACAGTAAAATATTCAACAAACATAATGAAATGAATGAAGAGCAGAATTACTATATGCTCCTGCTCCTGAAACAAGCATGTCTAATAGACAGAAATTAACCAGTTTAATGACAGTGACAAGCATTGCACTATATACAATTGGCTTCCTTTTTAAATTAAACTGTTAAACAAATACTATGTAAACTTACTATATTGCTTCAGTTTTAATCTTAGCTTAATGCATGCCTGAAGAAAAAAAAAAAAACAACACATAACTTAACATTTGTTTGATTCAAATAGAAGACTAACACACCTGCCGCACTTGAAGCAACACTTTCGGAAGAACACCTTTATACTCAGAGATCAACTTCACCTGGGAAATTGAAACAAATGATAAAAAAAGAAGCTACTAGGGAAGGGATGATAAAAGGAAAAGGATTTGACATACCTTTCCTTCATAATTTACACAAAGGCGATTGAAAAGTGCATTTAGGTCTGTGCAAAACAAAAGATGATCAGCATGCTTTATTCATTGTGATCTTTCATTAGAATTTGTGCCTAGAGGCATTAATGGCCAATTTATTCCTGTATGGCTCAATATAACATATAATGTATATTAATGTTATTTCAATTAATGATATATTTTGTTAGCATCCATATTAATGCTAATTCTTGCCACATTCAGATGAACTACAGCATACCCTTTCAGTGGTATGCACGATTCTTGTAGGAAGAATATGTAGGCAAAAAATCATCATTTTCCATACCACATACTTGGACAAAAAGACATTGGCTTCTAGGCATAACTCTGAAAAGACTTGATACATCATATTAGGATAGCCCTTGCTGTACACTATATATCAGCTTTGTTGTTTTATTTTTTTCCTTTATTTTCTTTCAGCCCCATAATGGCACTTTTGTAAATATGTATATATATTATGTAATGTTTAATATACAAGAGGCCTTTTGGGGTGATTGATTTACTCGACACCCCTAGAAGGCTAGAAATGTTTTCTGCTTGCTCGTACTAGGGTTGACATGGCATCAGAACAGGTCCTATGGACCTGCCTTTGATTAAATCTGCCATTAGAGTATTGAAAGAAGGTTTAGGACATCTAAATTGACTTTTATTCAGCTGGTTTGAAGATCTCTGGTAGCTGTTCTGTTCAGCCCGAGGTTTCCTGTTTTTTTTTCTTTTCTTGAAAATCAGTCAGAGCTGAAATTTCTTCTCTTTCTCCCAATCGGCTGCACCAATCAACTTGAAACTCCAGATTCTGTGTCGCTCAGGTCAGATTTAAGTATTTCTACAGTTGGTTTGCGGATTGGATTCAATTTGAATGGTCTTCTACTCTCTTCCCTCATTGACAGTCCAGTAAACCTGTATTTTTTTTGACTGTCACCTCTTAATACCTTTATCTGGGTGGTTGGTTGATTGAGTTTTGAACTCTTGGGTGTTGTTGGACTATTTGCATCACTGTTCTCAGTTTGAATCTGACTTTGGGAAGCTGCCCTATTTTGTTCTTCCTTTGGCTTTGAATTTATAGCTGTTACCCTCTCGGACTGTGGTAATTCATTAGAATGGCCGAAAAGACTGATGTTATCCCGGTGAAATTTGAAGGGAAAAATTATGGATTGTGAAAATTCCACTTCAATTTCTTTGTTGAGGGAAAAGGCTTGGAAAACTATCTGATTGGAAAAGTTATGAAACCAGGTGAATCTGAAGTCAAAGCTTACCAGCAATGGAAGCTGAATAATGGAAAACTGGTGTCTTGGATATTGAGTTCCATTGAGACCCATATTGCTGTACCTATGCGAAGAATGTGAACAGCCTATGAAATGTATGGTTATCTAAAGAAGGTTTACCATTAGTCAAGGAGACAGAAAGATACAAGAGTAGTATGCCGGTCTGGATATGGGCAGAATATGAATTAGCACATATTGACCCTTGAGATCCTCCTAAGCATGTTCAATATGTTCAAAAACATTTTTAAAAAAGAAAGGCAAATCAATTTGTCATGAGGCTTAGACCTGAATTTGAGATAATTAGGTCTAACATTTTGAGTAGGGGAACTCTTCCAGACTTGGATTTAGTAATGGGAGAACTTCTAAGAGAAGAAACTAGACTCTTGACAGCTACTAGACTGGATGGAAAAGGAGTAGATTCTGGAATTGATATTGCATTTATAGCACATGGAAATAAGAAACAAATTGCAAAAGATTTCTCTAAGATTCAGTGCCATGAATGTAAAGGATTTGGCCATGTTGCATCCCATTGTAAGAAGAAGAATGTTTGTACATTCTACAAACAACACTGTCAAATTATCCCAGACAGTCCTATTCGACCACCTAAAAATGCTAAAGAAAGGTTAGTCCCGTGCATATCGGGTAACAGAGGGCCAATCTTTAGATGTCACTTTGACCAAGAGCAATTCTTTTGTTAACGGTGATTCCTCTGCATCCATGGATGAAGACAAAATTTGGAAATTGGTATCATCTACTATATCTTCTGCCTTTTCTGCTATTGGCTTGTCTTGTAAGTTCTCTAGTTATTGCTCTTCCCCTTCACATGTTTGGATTATTGACTTTGGAGCCACTAATCATATGATAGGAGCCTATCCTAATTTACCAAACCACCTTACTGAGACACATCATAAACACATTGTTAGTGCCAATGGTGAAAAATTAAGCATCATTGGTAGTAATGATTTGTCCCTTAAACTTTCACTACTAATCTAGTCTCTGTTGGTCAACTTGTTGATGAGGGTAGTGTTCTTACTTTTTCTCATGATGGCTGTTTGATCCAAGACCGATACATTGAGAAGGCGAAAGGGAAGGAGCGTAGGTTGGGCCGTCTATTTGCATTGGAGTTCAAGAAGTCTCAATCAGCAACATCCCCCGCATATCTTAGTTCATCTACACCTAGTTCTTTTTTGAGTCAAAGAAATAATGTTTGGGACTTATAGCATGTAGAGAACATTGATGTGGGCCCCACAGCTGTGGTCCCACTCTGTCCGTAGGGTAGAATGTATCTAGTCACAGCTGGGGTTATTTTGCTATTCTGTTATTTCTAGTTTCAGTT